AGTGACTATGGTAATGGTGATTATAAACTGCGATTTTTTAGTAGACAGCAATCAGTTTTAGTGTGTCTATACTTCTTTTCGTATATAGAATAATTGGAAAGTATACAGTATTTTATATTAAATAGGTAGTAGGAAACGAATCGTAGTTGTATTGTAGCTTATTCCAGACCAGTATAGGCTTTTTCCATACTGGAGTTGCACAACAAGCGTTTTGGAATTGAATAGTTAATGAGTTTTCAACGTATCTTTTTAAAATTTAGGTTTTCACTAAACCCTAAAAGCTTCATACACAAAATAGTAACAAAGCTTATAAGAAACGGTGCAGGAAACAGTTTATTTGTTTGATGAGCTAAAATTCTTACTTGAAGCTTCTTCGGTATGTAAATAGGCCTGAACATTTTTTTCATAACTAACTGTCATCGTTATACTAAGTATCGTTATTTTACTCTGTTTTAAAAATAAAATAATGAATAGGAATTTTTTTAATAATGAAAATCCTGTTGAAATGTTTTTTATAAATAGTTTTACAATGATTAAAATTTTTTTCCAATGTACTAAACTTATTATAGGCAATACGCCTACTGAAAGTTCACTGTCCTGTTAATTGAATGAATAAATTTATGTTTTTTTATTTTTTTTTTATTACGATGATGATTGTTGCCAATGTCTAAAAATCCAATCCAACCCTTCAAAAAAGGTTTTACAGGAGTATTCCTATTTAAATTTATTTTGGAAACTTAACATAAGTTTATGGATTGATTGGTCGCTATGTTGGTTTTGCGAAAACCTAACAATGAAAACGAAAACAAAATAGTAAAATGTTTAGCCATCTATTCAACATATCATACTTGCACATGGGAAAACAGTACAAAAGAAAATAACAATAAATAGTCTCTAATGAATCAATAAATAAATGAATAAATCGATATAATACCATTACGCATATTAGAATAAACGAGTTACAGCAGTAAAATTCAATAATTTAGTGACAAATTACGCGTAAAAGTTATCCATTTAATGAATTAAATAATAAATAACAGATTTGTGGTTGAATTTTTTCAAAGGCATTGATTAAACAGCTTGCTCCACTCAAGACTCCATACAGGCAACTGTACAGCTTGTTTTGGTTTCTAGTATACGTTCCAACCCAGGCTTAACTTGATTGATTTTTCTTTTTTAAAGAGGACAGTCCAAGCCTTTTTTAATTTAAATTTCTATATACAAATCCTGTTAGTAAAGCGTCATTATTCAACACCCGAGTAATGGGGAAAAATTACACCTACACCGTTGTGGAAAAAAAATTTAAAAGGATGTAAAATACTGAAAAGAATATAGATGCGTTGAATATAGAATATAGGATACAGAAGCGTAATACAATATTCCAATTAAATACTTATAGGACTCATTACTCCAAGGTCTCTCCTAATTTCTTAAATGTTTTTCATTTCGTTCAACGTAATTAGAAAACCACTTTACCTCACAGAATACTTTTGAGGTAAACGGAATGACCCAACATTTTTTTAAACTATTTTCAGATTCTTGTGAAGAGACTATGCATTGAGTATTAAGCTACGTAGTTTACCAGTTTAGTTAATTTAATTACTCGAGTTAAAAAAATTGATAGATACAATATTAATTCCATACATTATATAATATGATTTGTATAGTTGTTTGTATTTTTTTTTAATCTTATGACTATTGCTGATATGATGAATAATGAAAATAATTTTTCCACGAGTATATATTAATGTAAGTCAAACTAGTGTCCTTCTAACTAAAAAAATAAACATTTACAATGATTTTACCAGTGTTCCTGGGATGTATTTTGATGGAGTCTTCTGAACAAAAGGTCAGCAAAATTATTCAGCGTATTCCTTACACTATTAGTGTTACAAACAAACTAGGCCTACCAGTTTCCACCAAAAAAATAATTTAAAACTTACCGGGGTATTTTTAGTATTCAAAACTAATGTCTATTTCAGATTTTGGACCAAATATGAGGGAATTGGATATTGGATTTATGGTTTAGCCATGTTATAGTTAAATGTTTAAATTTAAACGCGCATTTCAACTCTCACAACCAATCAATCGATAACTGCTGCTTCGTAATTATATAAATGGCTAATTCCAGTTAACGAGATTTATCGTTTAATCCCATTGATACTTAATACCCGCTTGATTAACGAAACAGTAAGTAATCAGATTAAAATTAAAAGTTTCAAGTATAGTAAAACAATTAATGTAATTAGATTTTGGTTACCAGAATAAATTACAAATTAAACTAAGTTTGGTGTTTTTAAGTGAGTAGAGTCCTACTTGAGGAGGAGTATTAAAGATACACGGTTGATGTATCATGGCTTTGCCCCACTTTAAGTAGCTCCGACCTTTAAGTAGCTTTTATATCGTTGTTGGTGGGTGGTAAAAAATAATATTGTTTGGTTGACTTGCACAAAAATATATTCAAAAAAATTTACAATCTGAGGTTCTAGTTTTATATTACGTATAAAAACAAAATTTATAACACTGCCGATCTTTGGGTAATTTAAAATGGTTGCTTACAACAAAACTTCCAAGGGTTTGAAAATACTTTAATACTTTTAATTGAAATGGCGACCATACGAAGGTGGGCATTTTAAACCAATTAATACTCATGGGAAGCATGCCTAGTGACGATAACAACTACCTATTGATTACCAGATGAAGATTACAAGGAACGCAATGTTTAAATATTTTTGTTCATATTCTATTACAGTATTTACTTTTACTGTCACACTGCTGAAATGAACACATATGAAATTAAACTGTAAATTGGGTTTCTTAAGAACAGCAGTAGTGCAGGGTTACTGATTTCTGCAGTGGCTTTAAAGATTCATAGTAATTTCATCTGTGTTCTCACTAAGTATAAAAGTACAAGTAAAGTAACAATATTGCATAAATTCATGTACCTTAAACTATAGATATAAAGTTCACGAATGCGATATATTTTTGAGATTTTATGTGTCTGCTAAAATGATATAGAATTGTATTTTATTAGCTAAAAGAATGTCGCAATGTGAAAATAAAGTAGAAATCTGAAAAATGAGTTGACCTCTGGCTGTTATTTCCCTCAATAACTTTTTTTTGACTCTACGAATAAATAAGGGGATGTAAAATGAGTTTATATACTGTTTTCCATCATAAAAAAAAACCTAGGTTATGGTGAAATGCTGCCTTGATATCCAAAGGCTACGGATCGATAGATCTTGCCCTTGAATGAGAACCTCTTCGAGTATTTCCACAAACTTTAGAACCAAATTTGTCACTTAGTCCACATATTTCGATGAGATCTTGACACTTCCTCGATTGCCTAGTTTAGAAGCATACAATATATCATATTTGCCTTATCTTCCAAAGCCAGAGTATTTAATTCTGCAAGAAAATTGTTTTCCTTGTTTGATTGATATTCCTATTAAAAAAAAAAACTTCAAAATCTGTACGACTGATGTTGGTAGGTATTTGGGTGGTTCTCAAAAATAGATTAAGAAAGAATAATCTCGCCAAGTAATGTACGGTAAAGCACGCTAAAGAAAAAAAACCTTCCAAAATTAGGGAATTGAATACTGTAGTAAATTTTCTATGAATAAGTTACCATAGTACAGTTGTAATAGAGTATTGACTAATTATCAGTATTCATAATTCAACTTTATTATTATGAATGTTACAAAATGCATTTTATCAATCTATGGCATTTTCGCCCAAGCTACTTCTGCAATAACATCTAAAAAAGTCTATGTAATCTATGAAAATAATAGTCAATAAAAGTTAATCATAGTGGATAAGAATGAGCATGGCGTGCTATATATAAATGGACTGTTATTCTTAATAGTGCATGACTTGTTATTCACCTTTTTTGTCCTAGGACGCTAGGCACAAGCCCGGGATTGTTTTTACACATTACTTCAGGCTAGACCTAGGGTTTTCGGCATTATCACTTAGATAGAATCCATTTATTAGGTGGGATTTGAACCTGGGACCTCAGGGACCCGCGCTCTAACCAATAGACCAGCTTGCTACCTAGATTCTATTTACCTTGGCACGTACATGTATTATTTTTTCCAGTTTCAATCCTTCAATTTTGTAAGTAAAGCAGAAAAACGATAACTTTATGAAACGGATTGAAGCAAAGTGATAAAATGAAAAACAAAACGTTTTTGCAGGATATATGATAGCATTCCATTGAATTATGTAAAATTTCAGACCCATTTAATGTTTCATTAGGTTTTAAAGTCGATTTAGGAACACAAACGATTACATTTCATTTAAAACAATAGTTGAAAGTTGGGATTAGATTCATCCGACATCTAAACTTAAGAAATATTAAATAAATTAGTTGATATTTATGTTACTCAAATTTTACTTGGCCCCGACCAGTAATATCCTAAACATAAAATATAGTTATGAATTCAGTTTCAAATCATCAAAAATCAACTTTAAGCAGGTTCAACCGGCAAACCTTTGATTACTAGTAGAGGTGAGCACTACGTCTACTTGGCTACCACGTTGATGCTTGAGCGTGACAGATTGCGTGTAATAATTGTAAATATTTTTAGTCCTTACCGTATTTGCACCAGAAGATGGTGTAGTTTCCGAAACGGTCCTGGTGCAGTATCACCCCTTTTTCTAAGATGGTAAGGACTAAATAATTATTAAATACCCACAGTGCATTTTATCGAAAAAAGCATACACAGTTATACTGTATTGTGATAAGAACCTAAAACGATTAAAAGTAATACCTAAAAGTGCGATATACCTAAAAGTATATATTGACCAATTGTGTCACCTAATAAAGTGAAATATTAGTTTTTTCTGTAATATTAACATTTGTGAATCGGTTACGTCAAGTAATTAAAACTATTACCTATATTGAAAACCCTTTAACTTATGTGAAACAATATTTCACGAGAAACGTGGTCAATATTTTGTTATTAAAATCTCAATTCACAATAATAATTTAGACTTACAATTCAAGTGTGCTGACACAACACTAAACACCCGAGGCAACACTCACAACACTCCGACACAGGGTGTTTCCCCCCCAGCGGCTCGCGACACAATGAACCTTCTCCCTCCCGCCACCGCGCATGTGCACTCGCCCTCACCTTATCAGTTATCTCGCCCTCCAACCCTTACAGGTTTTATTAAGTACTATACTTTAGATACCATCTTTAAGCGGCACGTTCTGCATAATGGTGGCATTTTATGTATTTCCGAGCCAACTTTGTTTTCCCGATAAACCGGTTTATTTTGTTGTTTACGTTTCTAAATTGTAACAGCGTTCGTGTGAAAGTGATATTGAAAGGGTTGAATTGGAATGATTGTGGGTGTTTGATGCTAAGGGAAAATAAGTGAACATTTTTTATAGTCTATTGTTTTTATTTGAATTAGTTTAATTAATCCTTACAGACAAGTTATCTATGTAGATAGGTATTTGGGCAAATGAATAATAACTAATACACTTTGGGTCCTATTCAAAACTAGAGATGTAATATGTTATTAAGGTTCTAAAAAGATATACAATGTTTGGAAGGGATGATTTTAATTTTTAAAATCCCTATAATTTATCAGAAAAATTGTCTCATATAAGATTTTTTTGAAAATAACAGAGATGAGTATCAAATTGTAGACATTACAGGATTTAAATAACATGAACATCCCTTATTGTTCTAGGCCGGTTCATGTGTACCTAGATTTTCGTTATAATTTATTCCTCCGGGAAATGTTTAGCTAATTCAAATTACGGTTAGTTATAAAGTTTCGCAATATTTATACGAAAATAAAAACAAGAGAATATGATTTATAATAAAATATTACTCCATAGATTCGCCTACTAGTTTATCTTTACTGAAAATGCAAATTGTAGGACGTAAAATTTAAAATATCCATTCACAACTGCCTATATAAACAAAAATATTAGAATGATCAGTAACCAACATTCTCAGACTTAAATGTTTTGTAATATTAAGATACTTAATTTTACCTCCATACTACTAAGATTTTACTTTACTCAGGATAACTAAAACAACTGTAAAATTACAACATTTTCCTAAATTTTTTTTTAATATATAAACATTAATAATGTGAAATATTGTGAAATATTAAATTTATTTCTATCCCAACAATTTTACATTTGGCAAAAAATTATATTTGCAACATTTCCCCAAAGGTTTATTGGTTTTGACACGATTGATGAACCTACAGGAAAGGCAATTACTGGGAATGACTCGCCACAAATCACCCCACTGATCGGAGAGACAAGATAACTTTACGGTCGAATAAATGGTTAAAATGATAGCGAGCTTTCCCTCAAAGTAGGTACCTCGTTCAGGAGTGAAATAGTATCTCAACACAAAAAAAATATAGTTTTTTCCACATTTAAAGTAATATGAAGTTTAATTTATAGTTTAGTAACTTGTTTCCCCTATATCTATAATTATGTGTTCATTGAATTTAACTATGCAATAAATTTAATTAACTGTTTTCAAGTATTAACTTTAAGACAAAAATCAGTTTTAAACACTTGGATATGAATTAAGACCCGATGAACCACGCATAACGCAGTCATTGGAGCGTGTAAACCACATAACTACTATAACAAGGCTTATCAGAGATTGTTTAACTCAGCAAGTTGCAGATGCTGTGCTTCATTTCACACTTAACTGAATAATGTAGTAGTTTAAGTGTTAGTAACACATCTTTAGTTTATACTTGGGCTTTAAATTTAAGGTTAGGTTTTATCATTTTAAATTTAATTTCCTTATCTTGAAAAGAACTATTTTCTTCATCGTTCTTTATTCGTCATAGTTTTCAATGGTAAGTTACATGTTAACGTAATAATTTATTTTTTCAACCTTAAAGTCTACCATTTTTTACCAAGGTTACAGTGAAAAATAAGTCATTAAAATTTTAATGATTTACATGAAATGTTGAAATGGATAGATATCGGTTTACTTAAAATAAGATACATTTACTGATCATTTAAGGTACTCTTAAACAAAGTTTACTAATATATTTCAATATTCCTAAAATACTACCTTGAAAGGAGTAAGTAATCTTAAGCATAAAATGTACTAATAAAATCCTGATTTTATTCGCTATTAAGCAAAACTCGTCTGAAAGTAATGCATTGAAATTATCTGTAAAGACAAAACTTTCCAAAGAGTCTTCAATGATGTATCAAAGTAACTGATGAATGTTCATTACTATTGGAGTAGACTGATTACCGAGGGGCGTAAATCTTACTTAGTTGCTACTATTTGGTGTAGGGTGGTGTTGGTGAAGAGAGGGCTGATGCATTGCTCCCTTGGCCCCATAGAAACTGTACTTGTAGGCTTAAGTGCTTTCACTACCTGATCACTTCTGCCTTCAATCATTAATCTACTAATCGATTCGGGGATTCTCGTAGAACTTATAGGTCTTCTTCGTAACTACGCCACACGTCAAAAGTCACTAGGAACGTCATTTCGAGATGAAGAAAGGAAAAACTAGTTGTGGAGTAAAACGTCAAATCATTTCAATAATATGGTACATTAGTGATTCTTTTACATCCTAAAACTATACAGTAGAACCCCGGTTAACCGAAAAAAGGGGAGAGAGTCGTTTCGAATAGCCAATTTTTCGGTTAACCCATCATATGCTAAAAATAGCCAATGTATCACCTCAGTGTGTAGGAAAAATGAATTTAAGAGAATGTCTAAATAATTCAGTGTTTTAATTCAGCTATAAAAATGTTACAATTGGATAAGACTACATTTTAAGACTTTTATAACCCCTCAAAAAATTTTAAATTGCGGATTTTTGGTAAAGCAGTACGCATAAGTCGGTAAAGCAGGATATTGATTTGGTTCTCGCTCTAATTTTTGCTTATGGATTTGACTACTCATGACGAAGTTTCAGTGCCACCTAAATCCTATTTATTGGACTTATATTTTTGCCAGATTAGCTACATATTCATGTTAGCATGGATTTCTCTTGCGTTGCTGCTGGATCTTTGAGTACATCGTACACAAACCTGCACCTGGTGGAACTAGAACTTTTTCACCCTGATGATGAGGACGGAGCTCATCATGTTGAAAACTTGCGCGTATGGATTAATATCAACCAAATGCTGAGTCAAAATGTGAATGAGTTCAGTGCTGCAAGAGCCATTAGCTTTGTTTAACATGCTTTCTTGAACGGCGCCCTCGCCTGGCAAGTGTTCTGCATATTTTTTTAATAAACCAGGGGCCAGGACTCTGCCCCGCGTGCTTTCAAAGTTCTGAGGCGAGAGTTTCAAGAGTAAATATCGATTTAGTCATAATGGTTATGTATCATGAATATCATATTAAAATTTATGTTTAATTGGTTTTCACGTAGGCCTATTAACATTAAAAAATTTAATTCACGTGTTTTAAACAGTTCATATAGTGCCATTCCGGCAAATACACCAATGAAAAAATGCATAGTTTTGAATTATTTATAGTGCTTGCTGTAAATTTGAAATTATTATGATTATGATACAGAAGCCTGTTAAGTCTGCCTGAAGTAGAGTGTTTGTTCTGAAACAAGAAATTATATATACAGACATAGTTAATGGGTTTAAATCGAGTCATGATATTACTTTTAAATTAGAAATAAACTAGAGCTCGCCCTGTAGTCGAAAACTCGACTTAAAGTATACGTATCGTGCAAATTTATCTTTTTTCACCCCGATGATGATGAGGACGGAGCTCATCATGCTGAAAACTTGCGCGTGCTGTGGTACACCCCTGCCACTCCGTGGAAATGCAGAGCTTTGGTTTTACACTGATTGCATACGCAGTATATAAGTTAAGAACAAACTTAAGGTCTCGTTTGAAAGCTTAACAGTTTATCTACCTTTCCCTGTTTTTATAATTTCTTAAAATTACTAAGGGAAGTATAAAAGACGTATCAAATTGCATGGAAATTGGTAATTTTCAAAGTAGAATTAGAGGTGCAAAAAAAATTTTTGTTTAATTTTTAAAACTAGAGAAAGGTAGATTCAAGTGTGCCCTGCAATAATAAGTGTAGTTAATTTTAATAACTCAATAAATAAAAGCATTACGAGTGTAAAACGAACCGTCTGTAACCCAAAATTTTGCTGCCGTTTGGTGGCGCTCGTAGCGGCCAGACAGCGTAACTCTTGCGGCGCGCCCCACCCCTGCCTTTCCGTTTCCCCTCCACTGGTGAGGACACACGTGGTTGAATTTAAGCTTTGACATTTCGATACAGCTGTGTTGGTGAATTGTTGGAAAACATGTTTATGTTATAACTAGCAACAGAGCCCGTTGTGGTTAAATACAACGGTTTTTAGTAAAATAATGGTTGTGAAATCCATACACCACTTTACTCACGAATATTAATGGTACAGATTAAGCACATAACATAAGAATCGCATACTTAACAAAAGGAACTCACTTTAAACACAAATGCTAATTGTTAACAACATTTAATTAAAGAACAATCAATTGAATAATAATAAATCAATAAGCTGTTAAATTATTAACACATGTTTTTTCCGAGTCGGGTTAAAGGTCTTCTAACCCGACCGATTTTCATGATTTTGGCTTTAAACTAAAGGCATGAACGCACCACAGATTTAGTCCTACCTAAAGCACAATCACGAATCAACAATATTTATAATCGTTTTAGTACTTATCTGCAATCAATGATACTTAACTCAAATGTTATTTAAGTTATTTAAGTTTTTTTATGTGTCTCGGACATAAAATACTTTAAAGGCTTTCACTTGAGATATTGATAGTTTTAATCAGTTAAGTTAAAGATATACTGTATCGCTCAATCAGAAAACATAAATTTAATTATATCTTGGATATGGAATTTAGTTTTAGATATATTTACTTAATTCTAATTACGTTATTCTATTTGTTTTGACCTAAGAACCTTCAGTGAAATACCAGCTTCCATTTGCATTATCGATTATTAAGATCGGATGTACCTAAAGCACACTGCTAAATCACGAACAACCCAAATTGTTTTAAAAATGGAGTTATTTATCATCGATTTATCTTGCTTGCAACCTCAACAGCAACTGTCATTAGACGGGTTTTACCTAGTACCCTAAATCTTTATAAAATCTAACTTTCATAATCATTTGCAAATCTACACGAATTAGGCTTTCCAATGACCTATTAATTAATAAAATTGGTTTAGTAGAACTGTATATTTATTTGTACAAAGTTGAACAACAAAATCTTTAGGTCAGTATTTTCTCACCATTATAAATTTGGAGGTTGCTTAACATTTTTTTCAAATAACTTTGAAATGGTGAGGAAATCAACTAGAGTGGAAGTTGATATTCTGAAAGAGAATAAAATTTCCTTCAAATTGATACTATATACTTCTTGGAAACACTCAAGAAAGGCAGCCAAAAGTCTCACTCAAATAAAAAGTGTGAAAAACGCCGTTTTCATTGTATTTCTTATGTGAAACTAGTTTTTTTAAAATTGTTCACCATAAATCATAACAAAAACAAACTTGCATAATGATTTGCAAATCTACACGCATTACGCTTTCCGACGACTCATTAATTAATAAAATCGGTCCAGCAGAACCCTAAATATAGTTGTACAAAGATTTTTAAAACTGAATTATATATAGAATAGATTTTATTTTGTAAGTTGTTACGATTCCACCAACATGCAAAAAGAAAGGACTCTACCTCTCTTCAAAACGGAAGAAGAATTACGGAAACAAACAATAAACACACAAACTTTCACATTTATAATATTTGTAAGATAATAATCGAGTCAAAAAAGTAGAAAAAGATCAACTATGAACGTACCACTACACGTATAATGGTTCTAATTCGGTAACGATTCGCTCAAAACTGAAACCAAATTCAAATCAAATCAAAATTTCAAAGTATGACTAACTAGGCCGAGAGCTTGCTACCTATATACACTACCATCCATCAGCTCCAGGACGATGGCGAGCGACAGCGACGGTAGTCCACTATGGAGCGGTGGAGCTGAATGATCAGCTGTTGCGAGACTGGGGTGAAACACCCCTCGCACCGTTGGACGCGGCCGCGAAGGCCGCACGATAGGGCTTTCTGCTATACTAACATCTAACATCCATCACCGACACACGTGCTGTCGTGATCAGTCTCAGTCTCATTCTGTTATAATATCCTAGATTGATGTTTCACTCGTTTGTATTGTAGGTTCTATTATCTAGAAAATACACGTGCATTTAGAATTTAGGGGTTATTGTACATATAGGGGCTATTGACCCTACAAGCCACTAGTGAAGGTAATGTAATGTGTGATTTTTTTTCTAGCTGTCACCGGATATGTTTACATTAAATGTGGTTTCTAACAACGCAACATAGAGGTTTCCATCTCAATCCAGTAAAAAATGGAAGCTGATTGAAATCTTTAGAAATCAAAAAGAACTTGCAATTTTATATTAAATTGGCTGCCATATTCTACCGTGTTAAGATAGAGACCTCTAGTTTGCGTAGTAAGTTTTCTTTTATTATGACCTTCAAAATGAGGGGTCACTCGACGGGGCTTATCTTTAAAATGTTTGAGTTTCCCCCAAAATCCCCCATTTTGGGTTTGAGAACCAAGTAGCTATTAGGCTTAAAAAGTACTTCATAACAGGCTAAAAGGTGTGTAGAGTTTTGTTTTCCAAGTGTGAGCTGTTACAAAATTTATTCTGGGGGTCTCCAGACTTGGAAAGCTGTAAGATAAATTTAACTACTGAGAATTTCAATTGGCTGCAATTTTTTACTGGATTGAGATAGAGACCTCTAGTTTGCATTGTTGATTTTTTTACCTGGACCTTTAAAATGAGGGGTCACTCGATGGGTCTTTCCATATAAAATTTTTGAGCTTCCTACAAAATCCCACATTTTGGGGATGTACACCAAGTGGCAATTATGCCCAAAAAGTACTTTATAATATGCCATAAAGGTGTGCCGAGTTTAGTTTTTCTAGTATGGGCCGTTAAAAAAATAACAGGGGGTCTCCACACTTTTTACTAACCCTGTATATGTATAACTACGGTATCGATTTATTACACAGTGTGTAAATAAGTATTGAAACAAATCTGTATTTGTAAAACAGAAATAGATATACATATTTTGTTTGTGGTAATAATTGTTAACAAAGGTTTTGCAATTTTTTACATCAAAAATATCTGTACATTAAATCTTAATTGTACATCGACATTTATTTATCCATTAACTTTCAAGGGAGGGTAAATAAAATTTGTGGTAAAATCAGCAAGCTTGAAACTTAAATGGAAGATATCAAGCTATAATATGTGAGATTTCATAGGTGCTGTAAGCACAATTAATAGTCAGTGGTCAGTGTGAGTAGCCAGCGGTTGCAGCGGCAGAGTTGAGCGCAGCGATAAGGCCGCGGCTCCACTTGCCGTAGATTGCCGCGCTGCAAATTGTAGCTGGTCAGTTGAGGAAATGGGAATGCAGCGATCAAACGAAGGTGGCTCCACTAGCGACAGTCTGCAGCGCGCTACATTTTACGGCGCGCCGTAGAATGTGGCGTCGCGCGGGAATGGAACTCGGACCATTTTCGCGCTACATTTTGCAGCCAACAGGTGGCTCCACTAGCTGTAGATTGTAGTGCCGCGCCAAGTCAGTGTACGTACAGCCGACAGGCATACGTGGACAAGACACACAAGCTACAATCAGTTTAGACTTTTTAGTGTCCTTAGTTTTTTTTTTTGATTGATTTGTAATCAATGGAGCCTGAACTGGACTGTGAAATTATTATATTATTAATTATTTAATTATTACATCGGGAGTGTGGGAATCTTGTTTTATAGAGGTTGTGTAGGGGTTTCCTACTTAATATTATAAAGTAAAACAGTAGTGATTGGAGAAACAAATACGTGAAAACATTCAATTTGTTTTTAAGTGCAGCAGTCGTACAATTGTTATAATTAGCCCTATAATAAAAAGCTCCTAATGGCTGTTTTAGATTATTTTTAATAGGTACAACAAAAACTCACGAAACTCATATTGATATTCACCTTACATTGGTTACTTAGAAATATTACTTCTGAGGGTGAAAGAGTGTAATAAAATTAAAAAAAAAAAATAGAAATAGAGATAAAATGACCATTATAGTAGAGTAATTCGACACACCCAGGATTGTTGAAGCGAGGGTTCACTGTATAAAATTAATTACTTAAAATTCAGTACACTAAAATTAACTTAATGTCACTGAAAGCCTTTCCTATACTCCAATTGCTTCTCTTAGTTTGGTATCCTTCTGAAAACGTGTTGATACTGATTCTATTAAGTAATCAAACGAGTTTTGGGACATTCGATAATATTCAAAAAACTTGTCTGAATACTTTCAATATGCAATGTGTGGAACATCCCTTCCCTTCGGACATTACGTTGCTTAATATTGGATGGGTCCACCATTTTCCTGCTGTGATCGGCGTCGTCTTGATAAAGTACACTGATAACGATAACAACACTACGAATGTTAATTTGCGGCATGATACAGGGCCACGTTTACCTCCGCGCTACACTTAACTGCTAGTGGAGCCACGGTGCATCTGAGGACGCTGCAGATTGTAGTTCGTACTCTGCTGCTAGTGGAGCCACCAACTGTAGCGTGAAGCGCGCTACAATTTGCAGCGCGACAATTTACGGCAAGTGGAGCCGCAGCCTAAGCGAGCATTTGTTGTTGTGTACCGTGGCTCCGTGGCTTCCTCGAGCCTCGAACCAGTACCAGTCCAACCGGCAACCACTAACTGATCCCCTCCACGGAGGCGGTGTCCCTTCCCCTCACGCGCCTGGCCGAGGAGCGCGCCAAGCGGCAGTCGGCCGAACTGTAATGCGATTTTGCCGCGAAGGTAGAGCGGACCCTTAAAATGCTGAGTCAAAATGTGCATGAGTTCAGTGCTGCAAGAGCCATTAGCTTTGTTTAACATTCTTTCTTGAACGGAGGTTTCGACGTCGTAGATTGGGGCATATGTGGGATGCTCTCCTTCTGACGGTTGTAAGGTGCCAATTGAGTGATAAATTGTTTCGTGTACCTTATACATATAAGACCCTCCACCGTTATGTTCTTCAATTTTAGCTCGAGTGCTGACCATTGCGAGCGCAGAGTTGTACGATCTAATGTTCTCTTTGTAGTTTCTGCTCAAATGATATTCTCCACTAAGTAGGCTCTGGATATAATAGCTTTCTCGGTATGGTGGTAGATTAATTTTTGTGGAATGGCCCAACATTAATCTTTTATTCTTACTACCATCAACCTGTTTTGTTTAAAGAGAATAAAAATGTCTTACCTCAAATGACATTGGGATATAATGACCACAAGGGTAACATAATTATATAAATATATACCCCGAGGGATGAAGCCTCCCGGGATTCATTCTTGTATCTACCTTTTTCTTTCTGCATCTGTAATTCACACAAATTTACTAAGGATGTATAAACATAAATACAAATTAAATAAATATATCAACGTATTACGTGATTTCCTTTTCCTTTATGGCAGCAGGAAAAATAATGGTATTTATGGCTGTAGTTGTTAACTCGCCGATAACCTCTACACTTGATCGTTGTCTTCTCCCTCCTTCATGGTTTTGTATATGTTGGATGGTTGGGTGCATATGTAGGTTTCCATTTACTTGAGTATCTGTCATTGTAATATGAATCGTGTTTGTATTTGTAGCCATGTTATTAATTTTTATATTATTTAAAATTTACTTTACGTGTACTTATTATTAAAATAAATTTAAAAACATGCCCTTTGAATGTGTTGCATGTTTATATCTGATTATTAAAATAACAATTCAATAACTACAATTAGTAATCAATTAATCTACTTAATTATATGTGAAAAATAACTGTTTCAAGTAAAGAAACTTCAACATTGGGTCGATCAAAATTGAAAATTAGTTAAATATGTACTATGTTTATTTTGTCAATTTTTTTCATTTTGTTCTTCCCACTCGAGTGTAATGTTTTGCCCGCGTACATCTTTACCAAGTACTGTAAAGCAATCTGTAAATATTTAAAAATTAATTACAAATAGTTAATGTAGATATTCACGTCAAAAGGTAATCTCGAACTTAAACTTGAACTGTATATGGTAATCAACTCCTTGAGAAACTATTTAAAACGCATTACCTATGCAAATTGGTTTAAGTAGTTAATTTAGTAATCCTGAATGAAAATTAAATTACTCCCCTTTTTTGGCTTATAATTTTGGTATGATATTTTTTGGTTTTGTATAAACGAAACCAAAACCTCTTCAAATTTTGAAATCCTAACTGATTAAAGAATTTAGATAGATGGATGAACTTAGATTAAACTGTAGATGAAGATAGATAAATAGAGAAAAAAACTAGATAATGTTTCTTAGTGGACTGTATTTCTTCAACTGAACAAAAGTAAACAAGATATAAAATAGTTAATATGAGAACAGCTGTTAGAAACAGTAAATTAGTTTTTTTTCTCATTTATCTATATTTATCTATCTTTCAAACTAAGTTTATCGATCGATCTAAATTCTTTAAACATTTGCTCCTTTTTTTACTGTTTTCAACTCTTATTTATTGCAAAGTTAATGGTAAACTATTATATGTTTGGACAGTTAAAAGTTTTGTTTGAGAAGATTCAAAAGAATTTCCATCCTGTATAGATCTGTCAACTACAAACTGAGGTACGGCTAATGTTAGTAAGCTGTGTTCGTGAGTTTCTTTGAAGAGAGACTTCAATCGCCATAACCACTTGACACAGTAAAACGGCAATCCAAAAATATTCTTAAAACCAGTCACAAGCTTGCACCAGCCGGACGTGACAAGGAAGTAAGCGTCGACGTTCTCTTCACCGAACTGTTCTGCGATGTAGATACCGAGTGATCCGTAGTTATCGTAGATGTTCCTCTTAGTGAGGTCGCTCAGAATAGAATGCGCTCTGTTCACATCTTTGAACTTCTCGGCAGCTTCTGGTTTGTCGGGTTCTTGTCTGGATGGTATTTGAGAACTAGTTTCCTATAGGTCTTCTTGATATCATCAGCAGTGGCGGTCTTTGGTAAACCAAGGGTAAGGTAAAGGGAATCTCCCGAAGTGGATAATTTTCTTTTCTCCATTTTCCTAGGTTTTTCCAAAAATGTCTTCTACACTTACAAATAAACTAGATAATTGTATAAATACTAATAGTCCAGTCAAGGAATGAGGTGTAGAGTGCGTGAGCAGGTAACTAAGCGATTCCTTCAGAAACTTGTTCAGGGGGCTTAGGGTGTTAACATACCAAAAGTCCTGACTCCTAGGTGGTGAGCCAGGGGGTGGAGGGGGGAAAAAGGGGGGGGAAAAGGTACGCATTTTGGGTTTTTTGATTATATCTCGAAAACTATCAACTTTTTGTATACTATAGTAAATTATAAAATTGAAGAAGATTAAATTTTCTACAAGAAAAGTATATAATGTGTTAATTTTGGTTCAACAGATTACGAGTTATAACTTATTTAATTGATATCTTATTAAAATACTCCTTCCATAAGAAATACATGTAAATTAGTATGCGAAATGGGACAAATCCTATCCGCCCAAAGGAAATATAACTGATATTCTGGAAATATTGACAAAATTTCCAGTAACTTGACACTTTAATCATGAAATTTTGTCAAAAATTAAAGCGAGGGTGAGCGTTTAAAAATGGGATGATTTAAGTTCTTTTTATATTTCCAATAAAAAAAAAACCAAAACTCGAAATTTTGTTACCTCGCCCTCGCCTTAACTTTGGATCAATTTTAATGATTAAAGTGTCAAATTACTGGAAATTTTGTCAAGATTTCCAGAATATCATTTATATTTCCTTTGGGCGGATAGGATTCGCCCCATTTTGCATACTAATTTACATTTATTTCTTATGGAAGGAGTATTTTAATAAGATATCAATTAAATAAGCTATAACTCGTAATCTGTTGAACCAAAATAAACACATTATATACTTTTCTTGTAGAAAATTTAATCTTCTTCAATTTTATAATTTACTATAGTATACAAAAAGTTGATAGTTTTCGAGATATAATCAAAAAACCCAAAATGCGTACCTTTTCCCCCCCCTTTTTCCCCCCTCCACCCCCTGGCTCACCACCTAGGAGTCAGGACTTTTGGTATGTTAACACCCTAAGCCCCCTGAACAAGTTTCTGAAGGAATCGCTTAGTTACCTGCTCACGCACTCTACACCTACTTTTGGATCATTCATTGACTGGACTATAATCTCAATACCACCACATTCTCAATTAAAACACAATAAATTTACAAATTTAAGAAAATACGGCAGGAAACACCATAAAGAATTCGATTATTTGACACAACCACTGCTAACGGCTTTTTTGGCTTATATTTTTGGTATTATATTTTTTGGATTTGTATAAACGAAACCATAACCTCTCTTAAAGGTATTTCTTCAAATTATGAAATCCTAACTAATTAAAAGATACAATATTATATTTCGTACCTAGTGCATACTCAATGCTAGTGCCGAAAATGAGGATTTGCCGGCTTGAGTTAAACTTAGAATAAATGTTTATTTGTATGTAAAAAAGGCAATACAATTTAATTACCTGATTTCCTGTTAGTCTTGAGACCAATTTAATTAAGCCTTTAATTATATTGTTAACGGTTGAACTTGTAAAATTACTGTTTACTTCCAAGATCTTAAGCTTCCTCCTTTTTCCTCTCGTCTTTCTCTTCTTCCTCCTTAATAATTTGGACAATCCTGGTTATCTTGTAGATTTTGTTGTTGTGGTATATTACATGGATGTATGTTCAGGTCTCCGTGAAGGTTAATGTCTCTTATGGTAATATTATACATCGTGCTACCATTAAAATCCATGACATTATTTTTTATTAGAATTTTCATTACGTGTATATATAACTTGTACTTGAAAATTTTGATGCGATATTTTGTTTCCTTGGATACGAAAAATTGTATTTTTAGTGAATTTCCCTATAGGGAAGTAGCTAATACCGTAGGTGGCATGTTAAGACCTAGGCCCGTGACCCATTTACTTTTTCATCTTGATGTCTGCAGAGACCGAAAACACCATTCGTTCAAATGTATATATACATAGTAATTTTTGTCCGATTTTGATGAATTTTGGTTTAAAGGTCTAAAGCGGGATAAACCTGAATGAGCTCACGAACCAGCATGATCGGACCATGGGAACGGGGCTTTACGGGGGGTTTTATGGGTTAAAAATTGGTTTTTCTCACTTTTGACCCTCAAAACACAAAATTTTCCAATTTCTCTTTTGACCTTTCTAAAGAGCTAAAAAAATAATTTAGTATATAAAAGTATTTTTGTACCGTTATTCGTAACAGAAAAATTAAAACAATTGTAAATTTAAAATTCCCATGTTATTCTTATGGAGAAAATTGTAAAATATTGTAGTTTGCTTGTTTATGGATATATTTTGATCAAACTTGGCAAATTTATTTATTTTATACTAAACTATTAATACTTTACTAAAAACACACTTTATTAGTTTCCTTGTAGCAACAAACCTAGGTACTCGTTAAACATAATGTTATTATTATATTTTTTATTGAAATCAATTTTGACAAATTTAAATTCGCTTAGTTGGCATGTTTGCTGCGATGGGGGTATTTTGTTTGTTTACTTAATGAAATGTCGAATGAGAACTATGTAAGTGAAGAATGTTCGATCAGCTTTTGGTTGTTATTTTGACAACTAATTATCAATTCTCCTTTGATTTAAAACGTTGTTACAGTTTGTTCATTAATAAGTTACTATCAGTTTTAATGATACGGAACAATGGTTCACCCGTACATAAAACAAAGATGAATATTGAAGTCATAATGAATAATTCGTTAAAGTAAATACGTGTATATGTTTACAGCCGAAGGGTGTAAATTTATGGTGTAGGATTGTTGCCCACGTCAGTATGACGTCACAGTATGTCCAAGGCAGAGATGTCGTGAGTTCCAGTCCTGAAGCTGCCACAAAAATATATATATATAATATACGAAAATATTTTATACACGTGTATATTGTTGATATGGTGTATTCTTTAACGATTTGCATGCTTGATCTTCAGTTTTGATGTTGTTGTGATTCTTGATTATCTAGTCTATAAAGGGGTTCTACTGTATAAATAATTTGTTTAAAGATATAAGAAATAGTTTAACATACTACAAGTATGGTTACACCAAGGCTTAGCAACGTATAATGAACATTACTTATTGTCATTTTAAAATATGTAAAACACGGAACAATCATTAAGTTAATGTATCTTTATTTAAACAAATTTGGTTTTATAATAAATTTATAATGTTTATTATTTTAACTGTTCTTAATTGTCATCTTGTTACGCTAGGATATTAATCAAAAAGCGATATAATTGTTTTAAGTATTATTAATACTATTTTTCATATATTTTAAAACATACGTAGATTAAAAAAAAAAATATTTAGCAATAATGTCTCTCGAGAAACCTTTTCAAGAGAAATCAGCCCCATTGTTCTACGAGCACCTGCACTCGACACTGATATATTCTTTTGCTACCTTATTTCCATTTTCTGTTAACTCACTCTTTAAAAAGTCTAAAGTGTTTTTGGATTTTAATTTTTTTCTAAGCCAATGTATATATTTATTTGATTGGATTCACTTTCAAATATTACAGACGCAGAGAAACCAATAATTCGGACAATTCATACTGCGTTTTAAAAATAATTTCCTTTAATTATATCTAAAAAATAAAAACAATAATGTAAGCCGAGTAAATGCTACTTCATTCACATTTATGTCTCGAATAACCTAAAAATATTAATGCAACATTTAGAATTTCGTTTGCATTACAATATAGGTCAGAAATAACTATGCATAAACTGTTGTATTTCATTGTTTAGTGCTATATGACCGTCTCATATAATGGGGTATGTACAAGTCAAAACATGTACCATAATATATGCATCCTGAGATATAGTTGGTTAGACCGCACAATACAAAACTAACTTGATAATTGATAAGTTGTTAACTATACATGGAGTGATTGTTTGGTCCCCCAAATCATAAAAGTTTACATACGAAAAAACAATTGTGACAACCAAAACATTCTAATGAAACTTACGCAAAGGGAAATGTATAGTTTTATGAGAATTTTGAAAAAAATATATAGTATAGTTCTAGTATAGTAGGTTGTATAGTTTTATGAGAAATTTTCATATTTTTACTCTAGAATATTAATTTAAAATGTTTATAATAGTTTGTAGTAAAATAAATTTAAAAAATTCCATTTTGCTTATGTTTTAAGCTATTATACATTTATAAAAAAAACTATTTGATAAAAATTTCTCCCGATGAACCTTTTCAAGAGAAATCAGGCCCATTGTTATACAAGTACCTGCACTCGACACTGATATATTTTTTTACCAACTTTTTACAATTTTCTGTTAACTGGTTGGATTGTTATTTTTTTCCAAGCCAACATTTATATTTGATTTATTGGATTCACTTTAAAATAAGACAGATGCAGATAAAAAAATATTTCGCACTACTTATAGGTACTCTCCGACGAGAGTTAAAAAACACAAAACCTGGTAAATTTAAGATGGTTTTACACGGTAAGACGTAAACCTGAAGACATAATAAATATCATTAAAGAAAGATGTATTATTTAACGCTGAGTTTTCAAATATATTAAAATGCACATAGCAATAGAAACTTATACAGATGACTATTTCGTCTTTTAACATTTAATCTTTCATATGCATTGCAATATGGGTCAGAAGTAACCTTGCATAAACTGTCCAACGTATTTCATTGTTACCAGTGCTATATGACCGTCATATATAATGGGGTATGTTCAAGTCAAAACGTGTACCATAATATATTGTCCAATGTGTGCATCCTGAGATATAGTCGGTTAGACCGCACAATACAAAACGAGCTTGTATTGATAAACTATAAACTTTGAACTAAATTAATGTTTGTTTAACTCTCTAAAAGATAAACATTGATATATCATTTAAAAATTGTGATAACCAAAAAGTTCTCAGGAGACTAACGCAGGGGCAATGCATATTAATACGAGACAACATTTTTTATCAAATTATAGGTTG